CTTTGTGGATTCTGTCGTTTAAGTTTAGGTAGTGCGCCATCGACAGTGAGCCGCGTGCGAGCGTGCTAAATCACTCTACAGTCGATCTTCGAGATTGTTCTAAAAGGACCCCCAACAGTTGTAATTAACTTCAATCGATGTATTTTCGGACGCTGATTCCGAATCACCCCCCATGACATAGGGGTAAAATGCTCCCCTGACGAGATATTGGCGAAAAACTGTCTCGATCACGTGATATGACCGTATAAGGAAGTTAGTCTAATTTCTCGTTAGGGTTAGGGTTTCAGCACATGCTTTTGCTAAGGATTGGGTTAGGGTTAGGGTTGGGATCAGATTAGAGGGTTAGGATTTCGAATAGTCGTTCAGGACCAGCTAGAGAACGGGTTGAAAAAGTCACGTGACAGTCGAGTGTAGAGTGATTAATCATCATCCAGCCGCGTGTGCCGACTGTAAGCAGTAAAATGGTTTTTTAGCGCTAATTTCGGCCAGCACAAAATTCTTGAAGTTGAAACAAATGCATATTGAGTAATCTTCCCTTGATCTAATTTTAACAAAAATTGTTAAGCTTACTCATAGACTTACGAGAAAACTGTCCGAAGAATGTAATACATATCCAACCATCAGACATTATGTTACAGCTAAAAGCAGCGTATTTTGCCCCATTTTGATCACTATATCAACTCCAAACTCGACTCTGATCTCCATCAATTTTTTCGGACAGTTGTGAAAGCCCTATTGAAAGATTTTTACTGGGCCGCGCTCAGCCTGTCATTCCGCCAAATCTTTATTATTTATATGTTAATGAACATAATAGCCTGGGGTCCTCAGGTAAAAAGATTTTCAGTATTTCACCAATTTTCAAAATGATCTCATTCAAGGAACCAAAGATATGACAGAATAATACGACAAAAATAAACGAATTTTGTCAAATTACGCAACTTTTACAACTACTTTTGCACCAAAAGCCGCGCACCATCAAATATGGCACCTAGCCTATATATAATATAATATATAATAGGCGAAACTTACTGATCTTTCCGAAAAGATATGACAAATTTGGTACTGCGAAAATTCTCACAGTCTCTAGAAAACAATGGTAAGAAAATTTTGTAAATTATCCGAGCAAGTTTATTTTTATCGTGCACCCCCTACCCATAAAGTTGTAGGTTTGTAACCTACCAAGACGCGCGCGCCGAGTTGAACTCGTCCGCGCGTCGACCGCTCCTACTAAATCGCTCGCCCAAATTTTAAGAAAATTCTTGTGAAAAGGCCCTTTGGGTATGAAATAGATCTCAATCGGTGTATTTTTGGACGCTGATTCCGAATCACCCCACATGACGTAGGGTAAAAATGCTACCCTGGAGAGTTATGGGCAAAAAACCGTTCTGGTCACGTGACAGGCTATAGCCTGTCACGTGACCATATATAGTAAAACATGAATTCGATTGTTTAGGGCTCGGGTTAGGGTTAGGGTTGTGGTAAGGGTTATGGATAGCTTCGGGGTTATGGTTAGGGTTAGGGTTGGGATTAGGGTTTATGTAAAACCGTTTTGTACGGCTGCAAAACCATAAAAACCAAAGTCATGTGAAATTTTTGGGCGAGCGAATTAGTAAAAGCCCGCGTCGACGGTCCTGGTAATATTTGGAACAAATATTTTAAGAGTATCACCCGTTAACCATAAAGTAACGTCGCTAACTACTACTAGTAGTACTACTAGTACTAGCAAAAACATGTCCCCACGCGCCGGGGGTGGTAAAGTAATTATTAAATCGATGATGAAGTCATGATATACCCAGGATGCCTACATGAAGAATTCGTTGTAACTTTGATTGACAACCATGAAACACGTACTGGTAAACTATAAACCCTGACGTATGCAGTGCAGGAATCGTTTATTAAACTTGACAGATCTGGTGCTAACAGCGGGGTTGCAAACGTAATAATTACTGGGCCGCGCTCAGCCTGTCATTCCGCCGAATCTATGTTTATGAACAGGATAGCCTGAGGTCCCCAGGTAAACGTGATAAGGGTTGCAAACATGATAAAATTAAACGGAAAATAATCACTCGCAATAAGGAACATGGAGGCCTGGAACTTTTTCATTTTTCCGAATCTATTATAGGCCTTAAAATCAGTCTTATTTCCAAGCTACTTAATCATTAATAATTCCTTTCACCGCACTTGGAAAGATATTATGATCATGCAACTGAAATTTTCAAAGCATATATATCACCATCTCTGTAGAAAATGGTCTCGCTTTGACTGAAATTTTGATCAGTGACCAATCAGTGAGGTCGGTGAGAGTGACGCAAATCTCCATCAAGGCACTGGAAGCAGTATATATATCCGGAGAAACCTTTGATAAAATAACATTTTTGAATATGTCCTAATAGTACTGCATGGTAGGACATATTCGAATTTCAGCTTTCCGCACCCCAAATTTCACTGTTTGAATGAATTTTTCTTGAATGACCATTTTACAAATACAACGTCGCTGAGGATTGGGGTACTCAAGGTTCTATTCCCAAAAATCATGAGAATATAAGAGATTTTGGATATTTTTAAAGAAGAGCATTTCTGCCGTCCCCTTGACCAAAATTTCGCGGTTTTGACTGACATTTTGACCAGTGACCAATCAGTGAGGTTGGTAACAGTGACACAAGTCGTCACCAAGGTACTGGAAGCAGTATATCCGGAGTAACCTTTGATGCAATGAACATTTTGAATGTGTCCTACTGGTAGATTGATATAAATCAGTTAATCAATCATTCAGTCATTAAATGTATAGAAAGCCGGAATCCTTGTAATGTGGAAATTGAATTTTATTACTCGCTGGTTGGATCATGAGCCCCTCGTAAAGACCCCTTCTTGAATGATCTGCTAAGTTTCCTGATTCATTGAAAAAACAATTATTTAACAAAACAATCATTAATTAATTGTTTTATTAACGAATCAGGAAACTTATTAGATCATTCAAGCAATCAGGCTGCAGAAGGCGTCATTGATTATATTATTATTACAGTAAGTAGTATTTTTAGATGGACCGTATGGGTAACGCCAGCGGCGGAGAGACGACAACATCGCCCTCCGTAATGTTTACCTCAGCTGCAGGACGATCCCTGTTTGCTACACTCCTCATCAGCTTCGCCACCTTTAACATACGTGGCCTCGGTTCTTGTGATGATCCAGACGACATCCACAGCAAACGGGAGCAACTGGGTACCGATTGTCTACGGTACGGCATAGATATCTGCGCTATTCAGGAGACTAAGGTTGTAAAACCGGATTCTTGCAGTCTTAGCAACGGATACAAACTATTATTGTTTGAGCAGAAAAATGGCCGGCAGTATGGACTCGGTTTTGTTATCAGTCCCCGATTTATTGACTATGTGGTATGCTGGAACAGTATCAGTGATCGAGTAATCTTTTTGGACCTAGAACTCCCTACAAAATCTGGAAAATTTATCAAATGTAGGGTAGTCAATGTATATGGGCCACACAAGAAACTTGCAGAAAATGATCAACAACTGTTGATTAATTTTTACGGCCAAGTTAGGGACGCTCTAAACGTCCCTGCTAATGTTGATATATTTGTTTTGGGAGATTTTAATTCAAAGTTGGGAAAAATGACTGCTTCAGATAAGGACTTTGGTTTTGGTCGTTTCATGGGTAAACATGGTATGGGTTTGCGCAACGATATGGGAGAAAACTTGTTAGACTTGTTATCAGAATTTGACCTCTTTGCCTCCAACACTGGTTTTTATCATCCTGCTCGACATACGACCACCTACACTGGCTGGAGGAAGGACTGGAGTGCCGGGCGAAATAGTAAAAAGACGATCCCGGTCTATTCTCAGATCGATTTCATCCTGTGTCGAAGTAGGTCGAAGCCAATGCTACAAGATTCTAGATCTTATGCAGGCACCTTGACATACTCTGATCACAGATTTGTTGTCACTAGAGTAGACTTTAAGGACATCTGTCTTTGCTATAAACGCCACTCCAAGTCATCCTTAAAGTTCAACACCTCTGAACTCACCTCGAACCCCACCATTCAGGTGAAATATCGTCAATCCTTAGATGATAACTTAAGTAACACTGTTTCTGCTCTGGATCCAAATTCAGACTTGAATGGCTTACTTGAGTCCATAAAGGATGCTGCAAAATCGTCAATTGGTGTCATCAGACACAGGAAACGTAATCGCAGCGACGATGATGAGGTGAAAAACTTATCTAGCCAGCGTTACTTGTTGAGACAGCAGCTTAATGATAACCAGTCTTTAGACAGAACCTCACTTAGATCATCTATTAACTGCCTCACCAATCAGATCAAGCAGAGACTTTCTAACATACGATCAGCTGCTGCTGATGCTATCTGTAATACCATCAGTTCAACAACAGATAGTAAGAAAATGTTTGAAGCTGTTCGAACCCTGAACTTACCTGAAAGTAAAGCCCCTTCTAGTATTGGTGTTCATGATGAGCAAGGGTGCAATATTGCAACAGACACTGGTAAAGCTGCCGTAGTTGCTAAGTACCTTGAGCAACAACTTACTCGTGATGAAGCACCTTTAGATTCTTTTGTAGGACCTCCTCGCCCACTAGTTAAGCCATTCACTAGTGAAGAAATCGGATCAGCTGCTAGAAGTCTCAAAAATGGTCGAGCTAACGGCCCAGATGGGATTCCTAATGAGCTTCTCAAGTATTCTACTGGATCAGTACACAGTCGTTTTGCAGACATTATCAATAGAAGCTTCGAGACCAATTCCTACCTTGACCCCATTGGATAGGCAAACATTGCCCCCTTACAGAAGCCAAATAAGCCCATTGGTCCAGTGAAGAATCTACGACCCCTCACTCTCTCAAATGCTGTTAGAAAGATTCTTTCAATGGCAACCTTGAAGAGAATTGAGAATAAAGTCAATGCCTTCACTGGTCCATGGCAATGTGCTTACAAGCAGGGTAGATCATGTGCTGACATTGTATGGTGCCAGCGTGTGATGTTATCAGTTGTCCAGAGGAAGAGGTGGGAATACCATCGTATGGGGATCGACATGTCTAGTGCCTTTGACACTATACGACGATCTACCATCCTCGATCTTCTTGTTGAGTGTGGCTGTGATGATGACGAAGTCCGTTTGGTAAGACTTTTGCTTTCCAACACCAAGCTCAAAGTCAACATCAACGGTACACTGTCTGCTGAATTCCAGAGTTTTCTCGGTGCATTCCAAGGTGACTGTCTGTCTGGATGCTTGTTCACACTTGTCTTAGCGGGTGCCTTGCGTGACCTCCGTAACAGGCTTGAAACTGCAACGAATAGGCCTAACCCACCTATCACCGATATTGGTCTTCCACTTGACAGTGAGTATGCTGATGATATCGACTTCAATGATGAAGATGAAGACAATTTGAGGGAGCTGTTGCCTATTGCAACAGAAGTCCTTAAAGATTGGAATCTCTTCGTTAACGAAGACAAAACTGATTTCACTCATGTGTACTTAGCTGAAAAGGGAGCTAATATAAAGACGATCAGGGTAAGCCAATTGCAGGGAACGAGCTCTGGAGAAAGAGTATCACGCTTGGCTCCATGCTTTGTAGTAAGGAGGACATCTTTAGAAGGATATGTCTGGGATATGCCGCGTTTAACAAATACAAGAAAGCTTGGAACCATAAGATCCCTCTGAGCAAGAGGCTTCTGTTGTATGAGGCTCTGGTAGTATCCGTTTTAATGTACAATTCATCTTGCTGGGCTGCCCCTAAATCAGTATTGGAAAAACTAGATATTGCTCACAGACGTCATCTGCGATCAATTTTGAATTACAAATACCCTCACATCATCTCCAACAAGAACTTGTATAAACGCTGCAATAGCGAACCATTGTCAGCTAAAGTGGCTCGTAGTCGGTGGAGGATGCTCGGACATGTACTGCGTGGGCCTACAGATGGTCCAGCCTATTCGTCGCTTGTTTTTGCTGTCAACACCTTACAGCTTCAAGGGCGGCGTGGAAGACCGCAGTCAAACCTTTTCTCACTGATTCTACACGACCTTAGTGTCCGAAAATTATCGTTAAATAATTTATGTGATTTGGACTATTTAACGTTAATTGCTCAGAATAGAGTTAAATGGAGAAGTATGCAAATTGCATGACTTTTGTTTGAGAAAGATTAGGGGACAGAAATGTTTACTTTGTTTACTATCTGTTTCTTAGAGCTTTTGTTTATATACAGGGTGGGCCAAAAGTCAGTACCCATACGTTGGCCTTAATAGCTCCGCCGTGTTGTATATTTGAGAGCTGTTGCTTTGCAGATGGCATACTGTACTTACTGGTTCGAGGATTCCGTCGTCAAAATTTGAAAATTCGAATATTTTAGACCACGCCCATTCAATATTAAAACACCTATATTGTTTTCTCTGAACATGCTGAACCCCTGATTTTTTTAGTGACGGTAGATTATCAAATGTTGCATATGATCTGAAAACATGAGGCAAAACGGATTAGAAATGACGAAGTTATCAAGCATTTTCTGTATCTCGTTAACAATATTGACTGGGTGATTATGTGACACCGTGACACGACACCTTAATTGGGCACCCTTAATAATTCCCATAATGTTTAACGGGGTAGTTAACGGGGGAACCTTATCACGTGATTAGGTAAACCAATCACCTGATCACACGTAATGAATAAACTCGTTATGCTTCATATCTCGGTCATCTGAGAAGCTACAGTTCTAATTCTTTCAGGACAAACGTAATTCGAATGGCCAAACACAATTAAATAACATTTAGCTTGATCCGACTATCCAAACTATCAAATAAATGTGAAAATGAACCTCCATTTGAAAAAAATGAACGCGAATATTTTTCGAGTTGACAAATTCCTCGAACCAGTGGTGGTACTAAGTCATACCAGAAAGACGTATTTAAATTGGGCACTCAGTGACTGAGCTATATAGGCCAACGTATGGGTACTGACTTTTGGCCCACCCTGTATTATAGTATTATATTACTACACTATTATAATATCATATTACTACAGTATTATATTACGACACTATTATAATATCATATTACTACAGTATTATATTACTACACTATTATAATATCATATTACTACAGTATTATATTACTACACTATTATAATATCATATTACTACAGTATTATATTACTACACTATTATAATATCATATTACTACAGTATTATATTACTACACTATTATAATATCATATTACTACAGTATTATATTATTACACTATTATAATATCATATTACTACAGTATTATATTACTACACTATTATAATATCATATTACTACAGTATTATATTACTACACTATTATAATATCATATTACTACAGTATGTAAGTAATCCCATGTCAGCCGTGTTTAATGTTTTCACTTTTTCTTGCCACGAAAAAGTGTGATGAGTATTGCAATGTAAATTTAGATTATAATTATTTGGTTCCTACTCTCATGCAACATGCATTTTTCTCTTTAGTTTGTATTTCTCTTTTCCACTATATTGAATAGTATGTTTACTGAGTTGTTGAAAATGTAACTTTGGTTTTTCTCCGCTATTGATAGATATGCATTCCGCAATATACACGCGAGCACTGATCGCACCAAAATAACATATGGAAGCGAAATTGAGTGTTCGACGTTCGTATGCGATCTTGCGCCGATAAATTACTTTTAGCCCATTTACTATTGATTCAGGCCAATTGATTGAGTCCTACACTCTGCAGCATCATTTGAATCAAGACTCGATCTGTATTTCGTAATTATTCATACACTAGTGTAACCCGTGCCTACGGCCGGGACTTCACTATCGCAGTTGAATTGCAAAAGTATAAACAATGCAAAAGTTAAAATTGTGCTAAAGTATAAATTCGCTCAGTTGAAACCGGCCGCATTTGAATAAATTTAATTCTGAGCGCCCATCACGCAATACGTATCCAATAGCAATACTTAATAGGCTTCACTGCCAAATTACCTAATTATGTACAAAGCAGTAATTAGGGGAGCTGTAAATGGGGAGAGAGAGTGAGAGAGAGAGAGACAAAAAGGGGGTCACTTTGATATAAAATTTGATATAAAATTTTAAGTACAAAACCATCGATTAAACCACTTACCACCAGCCAATTTTAATCATTTGGCTTCGTCAGAGATTTGTCGAAATATTCCGGAAAAACCAGTCTCATAACTCCTACCGTTTTCTTGATTAAACCGCTCGGAAATTACCCACAGACAGACAGACACACAGACACACATACACACATACACACAGACCCACAGACACACAGACACACAGACACACAGACACACAGACACACAGACAGACACACAGACACACAGACACACAGACACACAGACACACAGACACACAGACACACAGACACACAGACACACAGACACACAGACACACAGACACACAGACACACAGACACACAGACACACAGACACACAGACACACAGACAGACACACAGACACACAGACACACATACACACAGACCCACAGACACACAGACACACAGACACACATCTTGAGAATATTATTCATACATTCAGCACCATTTAATGAGCTCTGCTGCCTCATTTGAATAACTTTCAATTCATGAGCAATTGATCCTTCTTTAGTACCTTTAATAACAAAGGTAAAGATACAACCGCGGTCGAGTATAAATTAAACGTACACACATGCTATAGTCCTAATTAAACACTAAACAGTCCTATAATAGCATGGGTGTAGGTCTAAATTATCTGTGCTGCACGCCGCCGTTTTTTTCAAAACGGCGGCGTGGTTAAAAACGGTGGCGGCGGCGTAATCGGCGTGAGGTCATGTGATTTCGCAGATTAAATTTTCCTCTAGAATAATGCCATGTGGAGAGCAATTTCTAAAATATCGACATTAGCGATGCCTGCTAGTGCTACAGTATCCACTCGTGTAGAAATTATATAGAAAATAATATGGTCTGAAATGTTGGATTCCGTTCAAAAAATTCTTGCCAAAATTACGAAACGGCGCATTCAGCGTATAAACAGGTCCACGCCGTGTACGCCGTTTAAAAACGGCGGCGGCGGCGTGGCCGGAAAATCTTTGGCGGCGGCGGCGGCGTGCAGCACTGTAAATTATACCCGGACCCGGGCCGTTTGCTGTAATAGTAACCCACAAGTTCGCAAGGTACTGTTATACATTTGCTTTGTCAAGAAAAACTTTTGTCACATGCCTCAGTCTTAAATTGTGTAGGAACCGTTTATTCTCAATTCTCAGTATAATAGATAGCATGATGAGTTTGACCAAGTTAATTGTGTGCACTGTGCAGCTGCGTTCTTGTTGAACCTTTGTCTTATCCTGTCTTATAGTGTGCCGTGCCGTTTTCTTTAGCTTGAGCAAATGTTAATTAACATTTACCCCCCCCGGCCCCCCTAATTAACATTTAGCCCCCCCCCCCCTAATTCACATCACGTGACAATTAAACAGGTTTTGCAGTTATCATACTGTTTCATTGACATTTTGCAGGTAATTCAAAATTCTTAGTATTGCCTATAGTTATAGTGTCAATCACATTGAGGTCGTAGCTATCGAAATTCGAGCAACTTCCGTTTTTACTCTTTAGCCGATCACTTCTCCCTTTCCCTATATGCCCGCTACAACCTTCCCTACCCTTTGTCCCTTTTACACTTCCTCCTCTCTACTAAACTCAAATGAGCCATGTAATTTAATTTTAAAATATCAATTATCGACCTAATCTATGGCAGTAAGTAATTAATGTTAACTTTAACATTGTTAAGCAACGTCACGGCAGTATGGAGGAGTCTCACAATGATACAGTCATAGGACCTATAATTGAAAAGCCAATTATTGGCTTTAGGAAAACAGAACCTATTAACCAGGAAAACGGCAGTGAACAACCTGAGTACACTGATGATGCCTTTTCTGCTTCGACCGATCATTTTATTGGAGCTTTTGTCATCTTTCTGATGATCATTGGATTCATAGGCCACATTTTTCCTTTTTCTATTTCTGGAAAAGAAGAAAGAAGACAATTCATAACTTCCTTTATTCAGTCATCTGTGTTGTTGACGCTTTGATCTCTGCAGCAAGTGTTCCGGTTATAGCGTCTCTGCTCAATTCAAGATTTGAAATGCTATTTTTCAACTCAGCAATTTGCAATTCATGGCCGGTTACATTCTACCTTCTTATCAGAGTTTCGATGCTATTGGTTATCTTGGTGAGTGTGACCCGGAGTGTTGCCATTGTGAGACCAGCGAAACATAACAGCGTTAAACTTGAGCCCAAACATGTGGTTGTAGGTATGATGGCATGTTCTATCCTGCTAGTCACTATCGACCTTGCTTTTCTCTTATCTGGAAATGGATCGGTTGGTAGAGGAATAAGGTACATGAAGCGAGCATCTTTCTGTGAGATGTTCACTGTATTAAATGAGGATTGGGAAATTGAGGATTTTCGATCAGAATGGTCCACACGTCTCTACGCAGCAATTTTTAACCTTGGACTTATTCTACCATGTCTGGTGGTTTTTGTAAGCTTTTCAGTGAGCGTAATCGCCTTGTCAAGAAGAAAAGCATTGCAGAGTAAAGATGAAAAGAAGTTCCGATTTGTCTCCATCACCATAGGGCTCTTTACCGCCCTATTCCTGTTCTGCTACCTACCGTTGTTCCTGTTGCAAGTGGTCTACTTTACCTCCTACTTCATCATCAGGTTGCCAATTCTTGAGATTAGTGGATTCAAACATTATGGTCACTTGCTGATCCAATTCTTTCTCCCCCTCCTGAATGCCACCATAAAGCCTTACCTGTTCATGCTAAGAATGCCTCAGTACCGAAAATGGCTGATTCATTTACTTAAAATGACTCACTGTTATCCAGCCGAGACAGTGGAAAGCTCCAATACAAGTGGCGCTTGTGCAGTCACTGCAGGTAAAGCTGGAACACGTCTTCTTAAGCAATGATTTACTGGCCTATCTCACTGATGTCCCACATTGTCAGGGGTATTGGATCTGGACACACCATACCAAAGTTTAGAACTGGTAAATGCTACTGGTACTTCACTGGTACTTCATCCAGTTGTTCATATGAAGACCATCCTCAAAAAACCTTGTCAAAAACGATAATAAAACAGTCGGACTTCATTAAGTGCAAAATCATTTGTCAAGGCGTCGATCACAAACTGTGAAACTCTAAGACAATAGTCTGTGATTACCTCCTTATTAAGAAACAAAGAATATACATAATATGTAATGTTTATTTGTGATGGGAGCATTTTTGTGTGAATAATTGCTTAATAGTTAAATCGTATTTTGTTTGATCATGGACAATCAAATAATGTTTAAACATGTTTTGAATTTATATCGCCTAAAACTGATAGATTGCTACTCTAGCTCTAATATAAATGGTAGGAAAAAGTTAACTTTAGTCGAAGTCTCATGTCTCTACGAGTACGACACCTTAAGCAAATCTCGCGGCATATAATGCTGCGGAGGAGCGAGATCGCTGCGCCTGAGCCCTGAACCAAAGGTCGTGACTCGTGGAGACTTGAGACTTTGACTAAAAATAACCTTTTTCTATCATTTATGAAAGACAAACACTCTTTTGAAGCACTTAACGCACTCCTTCATGCCTAAATTGATGGGCGTGGCCCGTGGCCGGTGGCAGTGCTTCATGTTTGAATTGAAGCTTCAAAAATTTGAGTTATTTGACCTTAGGAACAACAGATAAGCCGGAGGTACAGTAGCAATTATTTGAGGATATTTTGTTATTATGAACGTCCCTAATATTTATTATTGATGGAAGTACGAAATTTAATTTATAATCAGAATTTTTATGTGAATGATTGTTTGATATTTAAATCATACTTTATTTGACCATGTACAATGGACGATGAATAAAGTTTGATCATGTTTTGAATTTATATCTGATCGATTTTCCCCGAATTAATGGAGTATTTAACACATTTTCAATCCTTTTCTTCACGTGGAACTGATGCATTCATTCTACTCTTGATTATATTGATTCAATTGTTTTGCTTAATTATTTTCTGTTGAATTATTCAATTTCTTGTAAACTTCTTTGCTTGATCTAATATTTCTTTACTGTGGTAAAGCTTTTAAAACCCCTTTTAACCAAGAATGGAATTTTTTTTCTTTTCAGAAAATTAAAATTAATGCACTAACTCCGCTTTACCGAGAGTCCTGTGGGAAAGCTGATTTCGACAAAATTTCCTGGTTATCGAAAATTCAGATAAGTTGGGATTTCGATGTACACGAAACACTTGTAGAATTGGATACCGAAGAAACTCCCGGTGAGCAGAAAATGGTCATGCAAAGAGCCCGAAAATTGGGGGTTTTATTATTTTTTGTTTGCAATTTGACGAAAAATGTGCAGAATCCTGAAATCAAAAATATTTTGGCTACCGATGAACAAAATGATGCAACATTAAATTATATAGTATGGCAGACAATACAAATTAAAGTTATGAACACAATAGTGACATCATCATTCGTATCACATACTATTATTAATGATAAAGCGATCCGAGTCATTTTACGTCAAATTTCTGCGATTACATTATTTACAGCACTCACGAGTCACGCCCTAATGAGATATTCCTATGTGGTCCCGCTCGCTTAAACGCTAGAATGCCGTACAGTGCCGTACAGTGCCGTACAGTGCCTGTCTTGTACATACACTACCCAGTCATTATACCCAGTTCGCTTAGATTTGCTATCAATCTGCGTCAAAGCGTGACCATTATAAACTGATCTCTTTTGTTGATTTCGACGTTTTCTCCTGAGTGAATTAATTAAGTTACTACTATTTAACTATTATAGAAGATCGAAATTGCACAAATTGTCTGGGGCTTCCAGCTTTTCCCTCTCTCCACACTCCACCCCCCCCCCCCACGCCAGGCTACCAACACTCAACAGCCCCATCAAACGAAAGACAAAGTGTATCCTGTATAATGTCTTTGGTTGACTGCAGCAGGTGTTGCCAAAAAGACACTTGATCTCTACTATAAAGAGCTCTGTAACACTTTGACAATGTGGACTAATCAAATTATCATCACTAAATCAGGTTAATCTGTATTCTGTTCTTCAGGGAATCTGATTTATATTATTTATAGTTCTTATTTGTCAGTACTCTTTACTACTCTTTATAGGACCGGGCATGTTACCTAAGTACCGACTACCTGAGATCAGAATTGCAAATACTTACTGCAAGTGGCCACGTGAACTGACGCTAAGGACCCGGCATGTTGCCTAAATTACCTAATTTTAAACGTTAACACGTGACACCTCTAATCCCTCCCTGGACCAACCATTGTTCCATTCTGCAAATCACAACACAAGTCATCAGCCCCCAACCCAAACTCAAGTAGCATCCATTTCATTCCTTGGAGTGGTATCATCTATTCTTATGTTCTAACTTCTAAAGAAGGGTCGAAATATTGTTCCTATTATGATGTTAATGTTTTAAGAAGTCCAGTTCGGAGCATTAGGAGTTGACTTTAATGCCCGTTTAAATCGTGCCTCCGTAAATTGTGCCCAGAAATTTTGGGGCTATTATTTTCCGTTACATGTGAACGATCTCTAACCCAGCTTCTTTTGTTGTACATTTTTTATAAACGGTCGTTCTCAAACATTGTAATTGCTCGAAAATTGATCATATGTTCCCTGTCAAGTGTCATCAGTCTCTTAGAAGCTCAAGCTCGTTAGATATTTAAAAACTGCAATCTGGTTATTGGACATTCGATATGAGAACGAAACATTGCATTGAGCAGCTAATTTGGAGTACATCCAGAGATCTTACTGTAAGTGTAAACTATGGAAAGGATAATTTAGCTGAAAATGTGTGGTGAATGCCAGAGGAATGAGCATTTTCAGGACGGCATAATGAGTTGTTCTAATCGTGTGCTGATGATAACTTCTCAGTTTTTACTCGCTATTAAATGTACCATTACGTTAATCTTTGGTATTCATCATCTCTCTGTTTCTATTGAACCAATTATTTCAACTTTTTGGGCTATTGAACTTAGGTAGTATCCAAGAAACCCGACCCAGTCCGCGGACTGCTTATGCCATGATGGTAAGCAGATCATATGAATGGTATATATTGAATGCAATTAGTAATAAGTTGCAACAAGCATTCATTTTAACGTTGTAAATTGAGCTGAATTAAATTAACGATTACAATTCGAATAGGGTATAACATAAGTCATTCGATTTCTGGGGAGCCATGCAAAGGGAGCAACGCTATGTCGGTCCATCTGGACGCGAGCAGGGAAACATGAAGGACATGGACATGTTACTCTCGGGACAGGACATGCAATTCTTAAGAAGGTTTTTCTGAAATAAGAAGTCTCTAGCATTCTCTGTGAAGGCCGTGGGTCCATTGATTTCGTCTAGTACTAGTAGACAGCTAGTAGAGTACCATGTCATGAATTGGAATAGTTGTTGTTGCACGATACTAGTCTTAACTCGTTGCTTCCAACAAATCGATTGAAGAGAATCGGTATCTGAAAAGTTTTTAATCATACTAAGATCTTGATTGCTTGTGTAAATATCTTCAAAGCATGCAGCGACAGCATTAGTAGTGAGAGCACTAGGAAACAAAACGTAGACACCTCCTTCTGATGCGTCAGTGCACGATATTCACTTCTGCTTTGTTTCTATAGAGGTATTCTGATGACTGGACAATGGACATGGACACCATCTTCCTTTCGTGAATTTTATTATACTTTTTTAGATATAATTATAGGATTTGAACTTGCATGGATCGTATTTTATGATGAAGTCTGACTTTAGCGAAATGAATTAATGGTTGAACTACTAACAATCGTATTAAGGTGCCATTTGGGCCATTTGTACTCTGAGTTGATTGCTACAGTTTATGAATAATATAATTTGCATAGATCATTAGTAATATTTGTATGCTCACTCCGTCTCGGCTCCAATCATCTCGCGCTTGTTAATGCCGAGATGATACTATTGTACAGTCAGGCTACACCGGGGCTGCTATTAAACTATTATGATGCGACCTAGCAGCTGAGGTTCTTGAGATAATTATAGGTTCTTCAGATTATTATAAAGCTGTTATAGGCTTATCGCCTGCTAATCATTTCGTCTCAACCATCGCTAAGTAAGTCATTATAACGTAAGAACAGTTCTAATTTGATAGTTTCATTTTTAACCTCTGATTATCCATTCGAATTTAGGCCGTGTTTAAATCGCTATAAGAATGATATAATTTTACTTGCACATACATTTTGAAAATTGACCACCAATTATTGTACTCGAACCACGATTTTTGTATCTTTGCATTATCTTTTAACCCATCAAAAGGAAACAATCAAGTTTGAGAAGGTTAGAATCTAGATTCTTTTTGTTCTTCTACTGTACCGATTTATACAAGTTAATAACCAAACTAGTTTTTTCTCTAATTTTGTTTACTGGAATTAACCTATCTCTGTTGTCGCAGTATCGCAACAGCATGGACTTGGAACCGGAAGCTACAACGACATTTCACATTATCCAACAGAATGAATCAGGATATGAAACAGCATTGAAACCAGATGTCAAGCCCGAGATGATGGAGCAAGAATTTATTACCATGGTCGTGGAGACACTTCCGACATCAATATTTGAAGGTTTGACCATGAAAGTGGAACCATTACCTACGGCCTTGGCAATACAATCATCTCCCGGTACCATTCCTGAACTTATAACAATGGTTATGGAACTTATTACCGATAAATTCGATAACGAAGGCCTCATTATTGGAGTTGCTACAGAGATGCACCGTAACGGGACAGAACTTACGAGTGTAACTTCACTCGACCATTTTATTGGAGCTGTGGCGATCTTTCTGACAATTATTGGAATCATAGGCAATGCTCTGTCTTTTGTTTACTTCTGGAAAAGACGAAGAAAAAAAATTCATGACTTTCTCTATTTATTAATCTCGGTTGTTGACGCTTTGACTTCTGCGGCAAGTTTTCCAGTCATAGTGTCCCTGTTCAATTCAAGATCTGAAATGCTGTTTAGTAACATGGGGATCTGCTATTCATGGCCGGTTATATTCTACCTTCTTATCAGAGTTTCAATGTTGTTGGTTATTTTCATCAGTGTGACCAGGGCTATCGCTATCGTGAAACCACTAAAACGCATCGTAAATCTTCAGCTCAAACATATGCTTTTAGCAGTGCTCAGTTATTCTGTCCTATTGATCACGACGGACTTAACTTTCCTCTTAACTGGAAATGGGCTGATTAAAAAAGAAATTCGGTATATAAAAGAAGTCTCCTTTTGTGAAATTTTCACCATGTCTGGGCAATTGGAAAAGAACGGGCATTTTCAATCAAAATGGTCAACTCGTCTCTACTCAGGAATTCTTCATCTTGAGCTCATTGTACCAAGTTTGCTAGTGTTCTCAAGCTTCTTAGTGAGCACGATTTCTTTGACGAGAAGAAAAGCAATGCATAGTGAAGATGAAAAGAGGTTCCGGAGAGTCTCGGTTACCATAGGGCTCTTTACCGCTATATTTCTCATCTGTTACCTGCCATGTTTTGTACTGCAGGTCATTTACTTTATCTCCCTCTTTAATGTAAGATTAAACTTCGTTGGGAATAACGGATTTCGTCAATATGGCCATTTGCTGATCCAGTTTGCCCTCCCTCTACTTAATGTAGCTATCAATCCCTGCCTTTATTTACTTAGGATGCCACGATATCGAACTTGGATGACAGAGGTATACACTATAGTGAGATGCCCAAACAGAAGTGGAAGTAGTGCTCCAAGAGAAACTGGAGGATTGAAAGAAGACGAGCAGCTCTGCCTTAACATAGAGTCGTCTTTCCAGGACAAATCTTTACAAAACTTATTGAGTGATTCTGCGGCAACAAAAAGGACCCATATCGCATTGATCGACCGATCGTACAAAGACCTGTAGAAATTCAAATAGCAATTACTATGCAGTAAGATATCATTTCTGTAGAGAGAATGATTTAATGCTTTACTGATATTTTAAAAGAACACCGCTGTACAATTGTTCAAAAAAAGTAAAAAACAAAACAAGATGGTTTTTCAAGAGCCTTTTTTGTGAAGCGCTCGCTCCACTTTCAGAGTTCAGACTGAGGCCTCCTCCGCTGACGTCTGTTTTAGCTACTGTAGAATACCGTCCAAAGTCCTCCAAAGTGTTGTTTCCTGGAAATGACATCGGATGCATGTACACTTTTGGCTGTATATCTGATTCATTTTCATTGCTGATTTAATTTGAATTTTCTAAATAAAATTTGCATTTGTTTGATTGCTGAAGACCATGAAATTTATATGTTAAATTAAATATTAAATGTTTTTCGTGTATCTTTATCTTATTAATCCAAACACGTATCTTCTTTCGCTGGCATTGTTCTGAAGGCTTTTTCTAAAGAAGAATCCTGATTTGGATTGACAATTAAAAGAAAATGATTCGAAAATGGCCTAAACTTTCAGATATGCATATTTGACTTGCAGCCATTACTGCATGGTGCCAATGAAAATTTGATGATTATGATAACACATCTTTGATACATTTAAGCGAAATAACGCCTACAGTAAAAAACAATCGCTGTCAAAATCTTTGAATGCGAAATTGAAATAAAGTCAATAAGTTTTTTAAAAACTTTGAATTCGAAAATGAATAATAATCAATAATTTTTCGAAATAATCAAATCAATAATTTTTCGAAACTACCCATTTAAACTTAATTGAGAATTTGAATATGTATTGTCCACATTCTCGATTAAGTTTGCTACGAAATATCAATAGCCATACAATCATAGCTCATGCAAATAATCTTGTGGCAATCATTATAAAATATTGAATGGTTACAACTTTATACTTTCATGATTATTATCTGATGTAGCTAGCTACTTGCATACATTATCTTTATGATTTAAATGGCTTCACAATTGAACACTAAAACTAACGAACCCTGCAGAATTGTAACCTTGTACATTTTCATCGGTGTGGATCATAACTGATAAGATATAATTGTATGTCACACTTTAGTTTTGGAAAAAATCAAGAACGAGATAATTTGTTAAATTATAACCGTATAATCGCTATTCCCAAAGGATAATTCTGAAAATTACATACAAAATAACCTATAATTCGGGGCTGATCCCATAACAATTCCATGATAGGTTTACCCGTTTAATAGCTGTTCATTATAGTTATACCTAAGTTGTGAAGTTGTATAATCAATTGCTATTTGCTTCAATTCTATTTCTTTTTACATTAACCAGCTTATTTTACTATTTGTAAAAAATTTTACGAGCTTGTTTTTTACTGGGCTTCCATCAGTCTCTGATCATATGACAAATGGTTTCGGTTAGTAACCTGTATCAGTGTATTTGTGTGAGGATTAGAATCGATTCGGTTAAGATTAAAAACATGACATAACTTGTCTAATTTCTATATCTAGTTTATGAGAGAACTAAACTATTTCTGACGCTTCCAATGTTCATGTTCAGTCTTATTGACGATATAGTGCCCCCTATTTTAGAGGCTTGAGGAAGCAAGTATTCTCTTCTTAAGTCAAGTCTTGATTTGAGAGCTCTAGAAAAGGTAACACCTGGGTACCTCACGCAGTCTGCGATGCTTGAGTAGAGAATCTCACCTGTCACAATGATAAGAGACAAGCATATTCCAGCTCCAAGGATGTAGAACGCTCCTCCCAGCATCTTCATGTCCAGGACAACGTCGTTACCGACCTTCTGATCACAGAGAACCTTTTTGGCTGACCACTTCGACCACAAGTAATCAATCACTCCTTTCTCTCTGTACTGCAACAGATATTTATCCACTAGATTCTTATATGGGGATCCTTTTGGTAGACCAAAGCTGTACTCAAAGGACTGAAACTCATTTCCTATGATGAACATGTCGCAGTCATCCTTGAGATGATGCCTCAGAATAGGACCCTCGTCTATGAAGACGAATGAGCCGTTCCTCAACCTCTCCAAAGCCTCCTCCAATGATGCCAACTCAACTCCTCTCTCAGCTATCTGGGTGTAGACTTTGTCTTTGTTGGTCAGTAGGAGCGTTTCTGGGTTTCTGTTCCCTATCACACCCCACTCGTACTTGCTTTGTCCTAGGAGGCTCTGGACATCTTCTATTTGGACCCCTAAGTTGGACAAGGTCATGAAGGCTGTCAGATTTGCCGTGTACACTGACATGATGATGAGCATGAAGAACCACCATGAGAAAAGGAGGAACCTACCGGACATTGAGTAAGGGAAGAGTCTGGTGTTCTTCCCAACTAACCCTGATCCTACCATCCAAACGGAGTTGTAGAAAGACGTTTCCAGCGAGCTCTTGTCCTCCACTTTGTCGACCAGACAGCCTGTGCTGTTGGACCTCTGACGGAGTATGTTCGCTCCCTTTGTAGATCTCCATAAATCACAACTTCTACAACTACATAGTTTCATGGCGTGCAATCTGGCTCCGTGGATACCCATTGGTGAGATCTTGCTCATTATTCCAATAAGCATTGCTACAACGAAATTGACCATTAAAAGTGATGCAAAGACTGTTTTGTCAAAAGGCGAAAGGAAGAACCACGGATTGTTAGTCCCTGATTCAGCTTTTACTATTGCTGTGATCGCTGCGTCCATGAAGGGATATCCAAAATCAATAACTTCTTTTCTAGCCACACTGGTGGACAAAGGCAATGGCACCATGTCTATTCGAGATCCCTTCAGTTCATTTATCAGGCCACTCCATTCCTTCGTAATAGGATCGTATCCTCCCCAATGTCCATCTGGAGGTTTAACGTACTCGTATGTGAAACCAAGATCTATAGCCAGCATCTGGACAATGTCATCACACATGCCTGTCCAACACCGATTCCCCTCACAATTATCTGATATCTCGTACATAAAGGGACCTTCAGCCAGGGCCCCCAATCTAAGGTGAACACCTTCAATGTCATTGGCAATGTGTGAGGGAACTTGGTAGGTTCCACCAAGAAATGTAAGTTTCCCGAACAGCTCAATATGCGAGGTGTTATGCCAGTGTCCAACTGTCTGGAAATTATCATCTCTGAAGTTGACTATGTCGTAAACAACCCTGGTGCTAACTCCAGTGCTTGTAAAGTTAATTTTACCTACCACCCCAGTATACTCAACTGAGAGGAGAGCATCGAGGACCTCTGGCCCTGAACTCCATCCCTCTTTAGAGAAACACTCTATACCAGACTGTTGCGGAGAACCAATACTTCTTAAAGCCTGAGTGGAGAGGCCGAATGCATCGTACATCAGCAAGCTGTAGATCGTAAGATCGGTTACAGATGTTTCATCGCTTGATAAAAGGTATGAGTCTTTGAACCTCCTGTAGGAATCTGTCTTAGTAACCGCCGCTCTCAAGCCAATCAAACCTTCGTAGTAGCTCGCGAAGGATCCGTTGATCATCAAACTGGCTGGCTGAGAGACTGATGCCTCCGTGATGATCCAAACATACCCCTCTCCCATAAGTCCCATTTCATGGGCTTCTTCTAAAATGTTTCTAACATATTCCGACCCACAGTGTAGCAGAATCACCTTTGCCAAACTCGTTTTCAGCTCTTGAAGTTGGAAAGACACATTTGGACCGCCCTTATTCCTGTCGAAGAAGAGTGTGTGCTTTACAGTGTGTCCATAGTGCTTATTGATCATATTTTGAAGTTCGGCTATACCGTTCATTCCATATGAATCTGATGAAGCCATAATGGATATTTCTTTCCATTCGAACAGTTCCAGTAAATCGTAAATAGCACGACCCTGATAGTTGTCAGGAGGAGACAGCCTCAAGAGGTAGTCCCTATCACTGTTTTTCAGGTAGGGATCAGTAGCAGAAACCGATACAAGAGGGATGTTCAGTGGAGAGACCACATCAGCGTGAACAGCTGTATCCTGTGAAGTTGAGGAAGAGACAACAACAGCTGCACCAGCTGCAATGACCTTGCAGCAAGCATCCACATTGTCTAGCAGGGTTTCACCGTACTCTTGGGTTATTATTGTGATGTTGAGCTTTTTCTCCGCGAAACGTACGATTTTCTGCCATGCTCTGTCGTAAGGATCTCCCTTCCGGTAAAGAAGACCGACCTTAACATCGGATGATGTAACCATAGTAATAACAAGCCCTGCTAGACATGGTAGTGTTCGGAACATCACTGATGTTTAAAACCAGGTCCTGAAAATACAGGGTGAGGTTTCTTAAGCTAGTGATGAAATGAAGCTTGAATTTCGGTCGTAATAGATACTTTATCAGAGCAAGATTGAAGTTTATTTTAAAAACGAAACGGACGCGACGCAAATATTTATGAATAACGACTAGCCACTGAAATTGATGTAATTTCACGCAATCAACGCAAGCTAAAACTAAAAGGCTATGTTACTGTATTAAGACGAAAATATCGCATAAAATTAAACGTTTACAGATAAAATTTAGCTGCGGAAATTGATGGCAGCTGCAGTGCACAAAAGTGATAGCACCTCCCATAGTCTTATCTTATAACGATTCTACATATCAAGAATTTGAGAGCGTTAATCAAACTTTGCTGAATAACACAAAAAATAACTGGCTGTGTTGCTGTAGACCTGAAATTAGGAAGGCCGAGAGAATAATTGAGAAGTCACGAATTTAAATTAGACATGGTGCATTCAGTCTGGCATGCAAATAATTGGCTCGATTTAATTACATTAGAAGTGATGTTAAACCATGACTCATGAGTCAATTGCAAAATTTGAATTGTAAAATTTAAATATATTAAAAATTAACTCTCCCTTTGTTCATCACTTATAATATTTGTTCTTCAAAGTTAATTGAGAAAAAGATCTGCGAAGTTTTTACTGGCACTCAAATTTTTAATTTTGCTATTACACCTTCTAAAAATACGCGAATACAATACTGCTATGAAATAAATAGTAAGTAAAACATGACATAAAACATTACATATTTGTAAAATGGACAATTACGTTATACTTATTTCGAAAATTTAGAAACCGTAGAAGTTTTAACAAGAGTTTAATCCAAGCTGCTGTAATTATAGTAATTATGTAATTGTATAATTAACCTAAATGAATTGTTCGAAAGCCAAAGCTTGTACCAAATCGAAGATTAAAGATGATGTTTCTCTTTACTTAGAACCCGGATGTGTTACCTGTAGAGCTAACGATTAGTCGACAGTTTGGTCGAAACTCAAAGACTGGAATAGTTTTAAAATTCCGTAAATCGTGCAGTTTATAGTTTATACCTGATTCATGTTTGAGATGTAAATGACGACCACCATTGATAAGAACTGATACAAAGTTTTCAGAAGTGATCTTTTATAAATTATAATTGAGTTATGGTGATTTAGAGCCAATATTAGTTTTGACTTTCGACTATTAACTTTCGACTAATTAGCACATAATTTCCGGGTACTAAGAGCTGATTAGGAGCAGTAACGAAGTTTGAACTTAATAAATGAATCTATAAAAGAGTTTTGCAAGTCTTGGAGGATGTACTACATGCGTTGTCGAACAAGAAAGAATACAATTCAGTCATGTACAATTCGCTATTCAGTGAAGTACAATATTTTAATCACGTACAATTCGGTCACGTTCTATTCAGTGAAGTACAATAATTGAATCACGTACAATTCAGTCATGTACTATTCAGTGAAGTACTATAATTTAATCACGTACAATTCAGTAACGTACTGTTCAGTGATGTACAATAATTTAATCACGTACAATTCAGTCATGTACAATTCAGTGAAGTAAAATAATTTAATCACGTACAATTCAGTCACGTTCTATTCAGTGAAGTACAATAATTTAATCACGTACAATTCAGTAACGTACTGTTCAGTGAAGTACAATAATTGAATCACGTACAATTCAGTCACGTACTATTCAGTGAAGTACAATAATTTAATCACGTACAATTCGGTCCTGTACTATTCAGTGAAGTACAATAATTTAATCACGTACAATTCGGTCATGCACTATTCAGTGAAGTACAATAATTTAATCACGTACAATTCAGTCACGTACTATTCAGTGAAGTACAATAATTTAATCACGTACAATTCAGTCACGTACTATTCAGTGAAGTATAATAATTTAATCACGTACAATTCAGTCACGTACTATTCAGTGAAGTACGATAATTTAATCACGTACAATTCAGTCCTGTACCATTCAGTGAAGTACTATAATTTAATCACGTACAATTCAGTAACGTACTATTCAGTGAAGTACAATAATTTAATCACGTACAATTCAGTCACGTACTATTCAATGAAGTACAATAATTTAATCACGTACAATTCAGTCACGTACTATTCAATGAAGTAAGGTTGAGCGAGGGCTTGGTTTAAAACTTCAAATTAAGAGTTCTAGTTATATCTATATTCTTGGTATTAAGTGGGAACTGGGAGACTTCTAGGAAAGTTTCAGTGAACTTGTGACCAAGGATAACAGAAAGGTGATGATATTACCATCTAAACTGTCTTTGATATTCAAGCTGAGTTTATCTGGAACAGAGTCGACATATTTCCACACTTTCCTGAGTATAGGAACTGGTGAGTTCCCCAAACGTCCGCAAGTTGTACCTTTGTAGTGTTGTAGTGTTCCGCTGTTATAATATTACATAATTACTTTATTAACTTAACTTAGCGCCCACCTGCCACACAATAACATTTCAACCAAAGTTCAGGTTACAACCACTCGGCCTACAACAGCTCTCATATTACCACACTTTGTACACAACACATCTCAGTGATCCAGTTCCTCCTGTAGATCAGCTGTAGATTATTGAGTTGTTACTGACGTATCACTGTCTCACATCCACACATCACCCCCGTTGCAGCCCTGTGATGACAGCCTCTCAACCAGGTTTCGCTCCAGTTGCTCTTCTTCAACCCTTGGCTGGCTACTTTTGCTGCTGTTCTGACACTGCTCCCACTTAGTTTTGGATGAGGTAACTTTCTGTAGAAAGGCGGAGGGGGTCTGTGTGATTGGGGGGCTTCGTGCTAACTACAGCCTAACGGTAACAGTGTGACACGCCCTCTGACAACATGTTTGGTATGATATATACCTGGGTGTACCCACGTGTCATAACGGTTATCGAATATATAACACATCTTATGCGGCTTATTTATTACTACACGTCTTGTCTGACATAATACCCGGTCAGACTATACTTTGTTTGGTTGTTTGTTGATGTTTTACCGTCCACTATCACAGGTTCTGACCACTGGATTTAGTATGACCGAGAAGCGAGAACCCTTAATTATAACCCTTTAAGTTTTTAACTCGTATGACTTTATGATTCGAAGCTTACATAATACCTATTCTGTTAATATCTATTATGAGATATGAGTTCTTTTCGCAGCTCAATATTTAATCCCAATTAGACATTTTTTGTTTCATTCACTTTCTTCATCAAACTTGTTGTTTCTGTTTCTGCTACATATCAAAGCTTCACCAATTTCAAGCACTTTTAATAGTCGAACGTTATCAATTAGTTATAATCTCTGTCTGAACGGAGAATCTGACATATTAATATGACATATTCATGCATGCGGTTAAGCAAATTACTAAATTAACATTCTTCTCAGACACTATAATTACTAAAGTCTAGAAAAACGGAAGAAAGATTTTGTACCAATACTGTATAGTGTATAAGAGCCGCACCCATTTCTCAAAACAGAACAGTTTCGCCTGAACTTGTTCAATGTTCAAGAGATGATACTTAGATCATAATATATGATTGAACACAAACACTCATTGCTAGAGAACCTCACAGGATTTCGTAATGACGTTTCATTGTTTCACGACAAGATATCAACACTCACTACATATAGGAGACGTGTATATTTATGGAAGACAAAAGTACTGTCACTAAATGCTCGGTTTCCTTTCTGGGAGGACTGTCAGTCTTATAGATTTCATATCCTAGTTGGAGATTTGGTTATTGTTGTTGTTGTGATGTGGTGCGTCAGAGGTTCGCTCCAGAAGTGTGTCCTATGCATAGTTCCTTTGCTAAGAACTTCTCTGAATTAGATGTCATCGTGTCTGGGATAACATCTGTTTTGCCAGAGATTCGCTCTCTTGTCTGGATGGTAGCTGTTGTTTTCGAGTGTAAGGTCATTGTTATAGTAACGTCATTGTTATAGTAACGCGAAACAAAAGATCATCATTTGCTTGAATGTTTTGGGTTCAATCTTCTAGGGAAAGTGCGGATGTTTTCTATATAAGAATATAGAGCGTAAGAGTCATTCTAGATTATTATAATCTCGTGTGGCACGTGTATTACACTGTACCGTACAGTGTACTTCAGCAATGTTAATTGCTTTACATTCTTATTCACAGTCATTTTATATTACTTATAGTCAGTTTATATTACTTGGGATTGGATTGGGGGAGCTGGGACACATTTCTTCCACTTTTGATATATCCGGTAGTAACTGGAATAACATTGTTACTTTTGCTCTATCCAGTCGAACCTTTCTCAGCCATATTTTTTTGTGACGATCTGTACACATGTATCATTTTTGTATTTTCTGTACTATTTCAGTTAACGATAATTATATCACTAATAATCTGGGAATAGAAGACATTCATTCTCATCCGAAAGAAGATGTTTTCCTCACAGGATTAGTAAAATGGAAAATGGCTAACTTTAGATAATCTCATTTTTCACTTTTTTTGTAGTTTTTTCTTGGAAATTCAATTTCTTTCCCCGTAGAAGCTATAAGTGTCATCATAGAGACACAAAGACTTCGATATTAAATCTTGATGACAGTTCTTGTTGGTTCTTCATGAAAAGCAGAATTACCCGAATTACCCGAATTATCCCGAAGTTACACCTCTTAAAGAAACAAGTGCCGAGTTTCATAATTTGCCAACCTCAGTTTTATTTAGTCTCGGGATATTTTGCTTGGAATAGAACACATCGGTTAAAATTTTTTGCAACTTTATTGCAAGGAACTCGTATTTATAATTTCCGTGTTCAGATTTTTCAGATGATATATTAATGTTAACATATTTTCGTTAGACCTTAATTCCTGGAACGTTTAAGAAATGCCACGAAGAATTTGTTAAATTTCGAGATCTGGCTTTGATCATTTCCAATTGTCTACTTATGTGACTAATTGGTTAACATGCTGGATTCATTTTGATAATATCATGCTTCCTTAATATGGGATCAATTTTGTAATTATCACGTATAAATCGTAACGGAAAGGTCTTGAGTCTATGATTAACATTGTCAAATTTTATACTAGTATTAGGATACGAATTTGATACCATATAAATCGTTAATAAACTTTATTTTGATATTACTTATTTTCATTCCCACCGTATGACATAATCTCTAATGATAAACTTTTATCATATTTATATCCATACTCTTTAAACTTTCAAATAGCAATGACGACAGACAACTTAATATGGATGTTGAACCAAGAGATAACACACGAAAATACCTAATTTGGGCTGTGTTGAATATGTATACTATAAAGTACATATAATGTAGCATATATTTAACCAAATTATGAAGCTCGCATCCGCTCGGCTGTCTCAGTGTCTCAGTAACTCAGTCCACTGTAAGTTAAGTTATCAACTCCTTCTTTGCTTCTTCTCTGACACGGACACTCGGTGTCTCGATGTGGTGTGATGCACAAATCTTGTCAGCATCGACCGAGTATTATCATCCATCATCAACTCAGTATTATTTTATATGCTATCTCAGATAATATCATCGCTGTGCTTTACGTTTTTCTGTGGATTGCATAAAGTTAGTGTTGAAGAGTAGATTTGTTCTTGCTGGCTGTGCTTGATTGTTTTTATCTGGTGCGGTGTAGTTTTTGGTAGAAAAGGAGTGGTCGGAAGTTTCGTAGAAAATTAAATTTGTTAAAATTGTCATTTTCTGAATTTTTTAGGCGCCCACATGTTTGACTAACTAACTAACTAACTAACTAACTAACTAACTAACTAACTAACTAACTAACTAACTAACTAACTAACTAACTAACTAACTAACTAACTAACTAACTAACTAACTAACTAACTAACTAACTAACTAACTAACTAACTAACTAACTAACTAACTAACTAACTAACTAACTAACTAACTAACTAACTAACTAACTAACTAACTAACTAACTAACTAACTAACTAACTAACTAACTAACTAACTAACTAACTAACTAACTAACTAACTAACTAACTAACTAACTAACTAACTAACTAACTAACTAACTAACTAACTAACTAACTAACTAACTAACTAACTAACTTCTAACTAACTAACTAACTAACTATAAACTAACTTCTAACACACAGAGTAAGGTGCTAGCAAGATGACGTTCCGAAGTGTATCCCTAGACAAACACAACTATTACAGAGCAAAGCACGATGCAGCACCTCTTACCTGGGATAGGAACTGTGAGAGTCATGCTCAGAACTGGGCTAACAACCTCCTCAGAACCAACACTTTCGGGCATTCCAGTGACAGGTCAGAGGGAGATCTGTCAATTTGGACGACATGCCATCATTAGATATAATATGCCATCATTAGATATAATATGCCATCATTAGATATAATATGCCATCATTAGATATAATATGCCATCATTAGATAGGGGGTTAATCCTGATGGAAAAGAGTATTATTTGGGAAAAACAATGGAATCTTCATCCTCATACTCCATATCCTAATACTCCACACCTCACAGGAACGATATGGGTGAGAATATCTGGGCTTACTACATGACGCGTGGTACGAACACGAAAACAGACGAACAGATGGCTGAGGAGGCTATTAAAGCTTGGTAAGTTAAACTTCCCTATCTTCTGAAGCCTCCGTTGGGAATTGGGATCACAAGAATGTATTATGAGACAATATAGGACACGAGATTAAATCTAGAAGCGCTAGATGTATAAACGGACCGGCTGTAATCCTACAGTGAAACTTCACGGATCAGCTTTGTTTACACTTAAATTTAGAGCTGAGTATTAATGTTTGTGTTCATGTAATATTGTAATTGTGATGTTCACTATTTCAATGTAAATTGGAATGTCTATCCTGTCCAGGTTCTGTAAATTACTAACTCGCCCATGCTGTCCAGGTTCTGTAAATTACTAACTCGCTATCCTGTCCAGGTTCTGTAACTTACTAACTCGCTATCCTGTCCAGGTTCTGTAAATTACTAACTCGCTATCCTGTCCAGGTTCTGTAAATTACTAACTCGCTATCCTGTCCAGGTTCTGTAAATTACTAACTCGCTATCCTGTCCAGGTTCTGTAAATTACTAACTCGCTATCCTGTCCAGGTTCTGTAAATTACTAACTCGCTATCCTGTCCAGGTTTTGTAAATTACTAACTCGCTTTGCTGTCCAGGTACGATGAGGTGAAGAAGTACAGCTACATTTTCCCTGGTTTTAGTAAGAAGACCGGCCACTTCACTCAGGTCGTGTGGAAAGATACCACTAAAGTAGGAATGGCTATTGCTAAGAGTGACGAGAAAGCTTTCATTTGTGCTAACTATGGTCCCCAGGTAGGTTTCATTCGGTTCCTTGCCCCAAGTGCCAGTTTGTGAGTTCGTTGATTAGGCGGGAGAGCTAACAGGGTTTGATGTTGCGATTGTTATCAAGATATCTGTCTGTTTTCCTGACTAACTCTATAAATTTCAGGGAAATGTCTTGGCTAAAAGTGAGTTCAAGAGGTGCGTGAAACGAAAGAAAGGAGCTTGTTCCATCATGTAAATGTGTAAAGTTGTTAAAACTGTACAATTGTTTTGGGATTTGAAACAGTTTTTATTTTTAAAGACGTTCATACTGGAGCAAAGGATTAGGTATTACTATTTATATCAAGGTTGCTTCATGACATTTTTACCTTCCTTTTTTTGGACAAATTTAAATTAATTGACATAATTACTGATAATATTGCTACGAATACGTGATCGCAGATGAACTATTATTGAAATATATTATTTTTATCTCATTTTTAAGGGATGTTGTTTTGGTTAAGAAAGCTATTTTCAATCGCTCGAATAGAAACTGAAAAAATTCATTTATAGTAAATAAAATTCGTTAAATGATTCTCTTTTCTTAGAGCATGTGAAAGAAGGGAGGTTGCTGTTCAAATTATTTTGTATTTTTTGCCAAATTTTTAATTTTGATGATGTTTCTAATTAAATAATTGTTAAAAAATAGCTGCCTGTTTTTTTGCGTTCACACACGTCATATTTCATAAGTTTGTTCATTCTAGTCTATTCGAATTCGAATCTCAACGAAACAATGCTTACAACTACATAAAAATACGCTGATAACATAGTTGATTTGAAGCAGGTAAAACCAAAAACTAATACATAGGTTCTGTCAAAATTCCAAAATAGAACTAATGAACAAATGGCGGGAACCAGAAATTACGGCGGAGGATACTATAGCGGAACTTTTCAAAATAGGTGGACAGAATACGGCGAAATCACTTGACCCCTTCATTATTTTTATAGATTCATTCGAATATGATTCACATTATTTACTTATTTTTCTAGAACCTTCCAGTTCCACAGGACATGACATCCTTTACTGTTTGTTTGTTGAACTATACAGTATTGTGTTTATAACAAGACGTAAAATATTGAAGCTGATAACATCAAATTAACAACGTTTTTTGTTAGCGACGAAAACTGATATTTCAATGTTAATATTTTCGTGTAATACAGGACACTACTTGATGTGTTAGCCAAAAATGTTATCTTCTTCCAACCCAAAGTAAAAATATGTAGAGTTATTCTTTATATCAGAGCTAGGATGTATATGTGTACTTTTGGTAATGAATGTTGCTTTGACTAGAATCAGGAACAATGTAATCCTCATTACCCGAAATACGTTTCCTCTATTTCTTAAAAATCTGAGTATTTTTTATTTTATTCAGGATTTAGATTCTCAAATTTTGATGATTCAGGTTTGAATATCTTAATCTTATCGGCTAAAATTTGGCTACAATAACAAAATCTTACCTGTAAGCCAAGCCGAAAAAATCATCAGCAGTTTACACCGGTCAGGCGGCTAGCTCTCACCTATAGATCCACACGGGGTTGTCCAAGTTATACACAAATTATTGTTGAAGGATTACTAACTTTAAGTTAGTAATCCTTCAACAAAACACTGTCTAGTTTAAAACTAGACGGCGACGGCGTTTGAGTATCAAGAGGGCGTACAAGAGGGTGGTCTGTAAGACTATATATTATAGCAATTGTAATTAATTATAGTTATCGTTATACACTTTTTAATGTTAATAAAAAAATTACGGCGGAGGACACTATAGTTCTATAGAGCGGATCTTTTCAAAATAGGTGGACAGAATACGGCGAAATCACTTGACACCTCCTTAGCTATTTTCAAAAATTCATTCGAATATGATTCACATTATTTCGTTATTCTTCTAGAAGGAATAATATATTTAAATGCCCTCACTTTCACAAGTTTTTTAATTAAGAACCCGGCAGAAGGTTACCTAAACGAACGGATGAGCTAAAATAATTTCCTTTACAATATTCTGGAACTTAAAAAATTTAATAGCATTTTGAACATTTTAATTTTGTACATTTTATTTAATTTTGTACATTTTGAACATTTTAATCGCATTTTGAACGCTTAGTCATTGGAACAGAAATTAAGTTTGAGTAATATTCACCATATGATGACAAACCAACATGCTGAGTCGTGTGACTTTTTACTAATATATTATTCGTTTTGCATATTCGTTTTACAATATTGAATTGAAGCCACTTATTATATACCTTAGGACCAATAAATTTGGTTCACAATAAATTTGGTTACCATAATTTTAGTCACAAATTTCGCAAATTTTTAGTCTACAACAACTTAGTCAAATTTTTCGACTTTTCGAGACCATTTTCCATTCCATTTACCTTAAGAACGACAAATTTAGTCTACCCCGTCTGAGCATTACAGATTAAGCTGCAATGCATTACTCGGGAATTTCAATAACATCAGATCTAGATATGAGTTTGTGACTATGAATCACTAAGTTCTTCAGTACACTGTTCAGTTTCTTTTTCACCCTTTTTCGACTTTACCTTTTTTGTCGGTACGACGTAGTTTTATCGATATGATCCTTCAGCCGTTTCAACAGAGCATGCATTGGGATGGATCGATTAAAAATGTAATGTCCAAGAGGAGCTCTAACCCTTTAAGTGCAATAGGACTTTGGTACGGTTTTGTGCAGTAGGAACGGTGCAGTGATTTCATATATTAATTATAAACAATGTTAGCCTAATAATATTCATGTCATATTTGCTGCTTTAAAATTAGTCGCCGAAAAATTTAGACTCATGAAATTTGGTTTACAACAATTTTAGTCAAAAGTTTGACTAAATTTATGGTAGACTAAATTTGTCGTTCTTAAAATAGTGTACTACAGATTATACCGCGACTACTACTTTATTCTAGACAGGCATGGGTCTAGAGAATATTCTGCGTGTGCCAAATGTATTTGTTCTAGACTCTAGTAGTTAAACTGTGCTAACAATTCAATTTTCGCACACTTTGGTTTTTTCCGGTGTCAAAAGACATTATTTGTATTATAGGTCACATTGAAGGCGTGATATATTCCTTGTATTCCTTGTACCATGACAACTTCATCATTTCAAAGTAGGTGGTATTGTTTAATGTTTACCTCATGTTCTACAGTTCTATATTTGACAGTTCTAGTCAATTATCAGCCGTATGGGATATTTCACTTTTAGGATTGAAGCCCTTTGTCTATTCTGTTTTCGTTTAACAAAATCCCAAAATTGCCGCTCAGCTTCGTTCACCAATTTGCTATTTAGCGCAACCGATAGAAACACTTCTTTAATCGGGGTTTTTATGTCTCTGGTCTTAATTCATAGTTATGGTTGAGGACGTACGGTACAGACAAAATTTGTACTCATTGAAGGTAGAATTGATTGGCATTTATTTTCGAAATTTTGTAAATCTCGCAGTTAAATGGAAAAAGTTGAAAATTTAATCGATCGCTGATCGCTGCAATACAAGAACCTTCCGCGAGAAACCAGCAACGACGAACTTTAAGTTGGTCAGTCGACTTTAGTTTAGTCAGAAATTTGGGTGTTCCTAGTTAGCTAGTTGACTTTCCGTCCATTGCGACTCTAAATAGTTATGAGTACCAACTGCCAACTGTCCAATTTACCTGCTATCACATGTATAACCGTAATAAACTAAAAACGCTTCCGTGATTTTTAATTGCCTGCGTGTTGTAACATTCATCAAGCGAACAATGTGAAGAGTCGAGAATGCAATTCAGATCATATCTTCTTTAATCTAGAAATATTGGATAATTCTGGAGTCGATAGATCAGTATCTCATTTTACTTGTCGGCACCGCAAGAAGTCACTAGCACAAACATGCATAGATTAAGCATTCTTCGGAAAATTGTAAACTTGGCGAAGTAGCTGAATGATCAGAATAAAAGGGTTAAAAACAGGAAAGAATACGTGGTTTTCATTTGCTGAAAGTAAAATCGACTCGGGGGAGATCTAGATTCTTGGACCTGAAATTTCGCTATTATTTCACAACATTTTATTTTTGTTATACATAATATGTTATGTGCTGAAGAGGAGAAAGTAACATTAGAAATTTTGGAAATCTGCAAAAACTAAAGAAGGGAGAGGAAAAGAAGGAAAATTAAAAACTACAATGCACTCGTGTAAAAATGACGGCAAAATCTGAATACTGTTTGACGGATTCAGATTGGATGTTAATGACCAAGTGGTGTGGGAATTTGCGTCACCTGTTGCCGCTATATATAGTGCTACTGTGAATGACAAAGCGTTGAATGATCTATGTCTATTGCATTTAACAACCGATTGACCTAAATGTTGAAATGAGCTAGCTCAGCTACTGGCTTAGTTTTCGTTTCTCGTCGACCCTGCTGCATAAGTCATATGCATACATTTTTCCAGTCGTTCTTTGATTTAATGCTTTCATAGATTTTTGTTCTTTTTGATCACTATAATTGAATGAAACATTATGACGGTAATCTATTTATAGCCACTAATATCAACCTCAGGCCCCCCTTCATCAGCTTAGTCTTGTAACCAGGGGTTTTAAAACTAGCTCGAGCTCGCGTGCACACATCACATCGTCAGCATGCAAATCTCCAAACAATAGTTCTATCACAAAGCACTCCATTTTTATCAAGTGCTTGATTCTCAAATTGTAAAGTTTCGATCTTTTATAACATCTGTTACGGAGCTTGATTGCATATTATCTGCTGCGTTCTAGAAGCAATATCATTGCTATAAAATGAAGTGTAGCATGCAGAGCTATCGAACCGGCGGCACTTCAGCTACTTTTTTATTATCTTTTTGTACAGCTAGCACCGCTGCTACGACTACCAGACTTTGATAATTTAAGATCATGTTCAACACGCTTAGCATACATTTCCTAGTTCATTCTTGTTTAGTTTAATGTTCATGTCAATACTAATGATCAGCTGATGATCAGTGAACTTGAAAAATATTAGAACATATCCATTTCGATACATAACTAGATATAAATAATCCAAAAATTGAATCAAAGTAAAACACAAACATTTCAAAAAATTACCCAAACTATTTCTCAGTAGGAAAGAGTCCCTTGGGATCGGTTCCAGACACCACAAACTCCAACATCATGCCTCCTCAAAAAGAGCTGGACCAGTTTGGAATCGCTACTGTCTACTCGTGCCATGGCGCTGAAATCAATGACGTGAGTATCACTAAAATAGTCATATTATCGAATACCTATATTCAATATTCATATTGTCTACCATGAAATTACTAACAATTGGAAGTTTCCTCGGCCGGTAGCTGATCAATTAGTTGACTGAGAGTTGTAGTAGTTGGCTAGTAGGTATTTAACTTAACAACTGGCTTTTTTGGAAGATCCACACCTCGTACCAAATCCATACCCCAACCTTTTAACGGAAGATGATCGAAACAGTTTTTGTCAGAGAATAATTTTAACCTTATCGAATGTGGGGTTATTCGGAATAAGCTTCTAAAATGCATCGAAGACTCCTCCGAAAAATGTCAATGTATGATTAAGCACGCTTGCTTTCAGTACTCGAAAAATTCCACAAGATCTAGTCCCACATATTTTCTTTGACAGATTTAAAACTAGTGGTATGACCGTCAAGGGCGTT